TTTTAGTCAGTTATAAAATAATCAAAATCAGAGATAGTTGCAGAAATCAGATCTGAAATTCTCGAGAGATTAATTATAATAATTCTCTATTGCTATATTATAAAGATAAGTTATTCTATGAGATTTCAGAGCTCTTTGCTCTCTCAAATTATCACTAATTTCATGCCGATATGAAAACTATTAAAACACTCTCAGAAATTCTCAAATTAAAAAGTATAAACTAATTAAATTTTTAATAAATATAGTAGAAACTAAATTATCTTCTAGAATAATTAATTATCTATTCTCTCTTAATAAAATAATATTTATATTCTCCTCTCTTCTCAAATGAATATGATCTGAGAAAAGTCAGTATTATATTAGACTATAATAATTAACATAATCTTAGCATGCAGAGCTGTATTAGACTGGCCGGCAGAATTATAAATTTCACATTTGATTTCATTTGATCTGATCTTGTACATTTCTTGACATGAGTCCCACCAGAATCAAGTCTCAAAAAAATCTGAAAATGAATCATTTCTGAGAGAAATGATGTGAAAAATTGACCAGATTTAATTCAAGAACAGTGAAATGAGAGTAATTTCTCAGAATAAACTGTAAAAGATAATCATTCTTTCAAAATCAGAATGAGACTGAGACTGAAGATTAAACTCAGTCTCATTCAGTTCATTTAGTGATTGTTTATATAATCAGAATTTAGTAATAATTATTGATAATACTTATGAAATAACTAAATACATTCTTGTGTAAGTTTATTCTTCACTTTCTTATGAAAACTACACTTCTCTGATATACTGTGATCAGAGGTATTAAACTGTCTGATAATTCCATGTTTTACAATTATGAGTTTCTTGATTATTTCTTCTTATAATTGTTCTCAGTGATAGTGATAAATATCTCAACTTAAGTTGAACTTTCACTTCATTTTCATCTCTGTTAATGAAATTATCAGAATATTATATATCATCAGTGCAACAGTTGAATATATACTCTCAATAATTTTTTATAACTCTAGAATTGATTTAATGTGTAAATTTATCAGATTATCTTGAAGATAGCAGTCAAATTCAGTTTTACAAGCATGTAGTTTTGCCTGATTTTCAGTTGTAATTAATGTATATAAGTTCTGTTTCAAAGTTAGTATTATAGTTCTATGTGATATGAAGTATTATCAAAGATTATTACTTATTAGAGAATTGTATTTCACTGTCTTTATATCTTAAATATCTGCTTATTCAAATCTCTGATAGTTGATATTATAGTAGTCTCAGACTAATTTGACATATGAGTCTCATTTCTTCTCTATTTAATCTTGAGAAGTGTAGATATTAACTTAATAAGAGAAATCTAGTAGAGCTGCTACAGCATAGTACTCTGTAAAAGATTGTTCAGTTTTACTGAAGTAATATATCAGTTTATCTCTTACAGCAATAATAGTCTGTGCTATAGCATTATCTTAGACTGAATTTCTTTTTAAGTGATTCAACTGCTTCTTAAGATGAGTAAATAAACTGTTATACACTTATCAGACTGACTGCAGCATTGATGTACAAGTAATTGAAACTGTCTTTATTATCTTATAAAACTGAAACAGTAAATTAATCATATATTTCAACTGAGTTCACTTCATATCAGAAAGTTTCAATATCTGAATCTTTTCTCAATTAGAGTGTTATACTTAATAATTAATCATCTGATACAATTGAAGAGTCTGAATAGTTATCTTATATATTGAACTTTACTGTGTTCTAATATTCTGTATTATATTCAGTGATATGACTGATTTATTTATTTATTAAATATCATAGAATTATTATTATTATTTAGAGAAGATATAAATTACATTAGCAATATTTCAAATCTGTGATATTTAAATTATTAGTCAATCTATTCAAAATTAACAGTAGTGTTATCAAAAAGCATTATTAAAAAACAATATTAAAAAGTATTATCAAAAAACATTATCTTTTATAAAGTGAATATAAAAGTTACTTAAGTAATCACTTTCATCTCATTCTTATCTCAAGAATCAGTCATCTCATTATTCTTCATCTCAATGTTAATATTCTTTATCAGTGTTTATATCATAAGTTGAATCACATGAGTATACAGAGAATATGACCTTATTTATTATTTCAGAATGCAAAGTCA